AAGATTTTGGAATAGATCATTCTCACTGAACCATAACTCAGTATGTGCAATACCCTTCATTCTGCTACTTTCTCTAGTAAAAATTTCTCTTCTTTGACTTTTTCCTTGCTTCCAGTATTGCTATTTTTGCTCAGACATTTTGAATATTTTGTTTTTACTAAGCCATCTCTCGTTGTCTTGGCAGTTAAAGGTGTTTTGTGTCGTTTCCCAGCTGTGGCACTGCAGGGAATTCCCATTTTCTGTCACTGTCAGAAATTCCCATTTTCAGGTGGCACCGTGGCTGCAGAGCGCTGCAGGCAGGGATCCCACTGCCCTCTGCTGGGCTGGCACAGCCTTACCCAGTGCAAATAAACTTGCAAAGAATGAAAATAATTACTCAAAGGAAGATTTCCAGGGGTAGCACAGCCATCCATGTGATTGCAGAAAGACTGGACATAAAAAGCTGGCAGTAAGTACCTGTTCCAAACACCAGGAAACCTTTTTACCTGCCATGGCCTATAACATTACAATCTAAATATGGTCAGAAGCAAAACAGACAAAAAGTTGCCTGCAAGCTTCTCCTCTAAGTCCAGTCAATTCCCATCTGGGTAGCTTCACCTGAAGGTAGCCTGAGTAGTTTTGTTTAATTACTAAACTGTTTAGAATATTTATTAGTTGCACTGTCTAACTCTGACTGTGCCATAATTTAGCTGGACTGTTGCATGCAACAGGTTCACCTGAATGCCTGCTGTAGGAATACTCACCCTGGGCCATTTAAAGCTGTGATAGATGAGAGGATTTAGCATGCTGCTACAAAATACATCTGTACCTACTAAAACTTCCTCAGAAGTTTCATCTCACTTGTCAGATGTTTTTCATATACATCTGCTGTTCTCACACAAGAAGAGCAGATTGTTCCAGGTGAGGGTTCATGGCAGTCACCATGATGGACACACATTTTGTCTAAACACTTTGTATAAGTTAAAGACAGTACTTCTGTGTTCAATTTCTTCATCCTCTTTCCTTAAGGTAATACTATATTTATCAGCCCATTCTTTTAATTAGAGCAGCTGGTAGAAATACCAAAACTAGTCCAACAGTAAGATAAAAAGGTTTTATTGATGTTAGAAAAAAAGACTTTAACAAATTTAAAAATAAGCCAGTTAATATAAAAGCATCATGATGCTACACTAATGATTAGGAGAATAACACAGCAGGCCAAATGCAAGTCTTCTGTCACACAGCCTTACAAAGCAATTATTTCTACCTTTGCTGTGTTTTACATGATAGTTCTTAGACAGCATCCAAGAGGCAGGAGTTCCTTACAGAAAAAGCACTGAAGTTGAAGGACTTTGAATTTACTTTAACTGATTAAATCAGCATGAGAATTCAGGTTCCTAGTTCCCAGGCTGGAGCTTAAAGCCAGGCAGCAGCTGGGTATCCCCTCTGCCCTGATCACTGACTGTGCCTCAAAGTGTCTTCCAGAGATCCTCCATCCTTTTTACACTGTAAATGGTGGGAGAACAAAGTAAGCAAACTGCCTGGGGCTGCAGGAGCTGTACCCACCATTATCAGATGGAAGCTGCTGGCTACCAACCAGGTATTGAAAGCTGAACACTTACATGCTGTGCTTAGCAATACCATTGTTCTAGCATTCTGCAAAAAGTCAAAATCCCTTTGCTTACACAATTCAAATCACCAGAGGAGTTTAAGCCTCGGGACAATGTCCAGATTTTAGCTGTTCTATAGCCAGCCCACAGTATGACCAGCAAACTATGGTTCCAGGATGTGTCTTTGCTTGTACTGATTCTAATGCAAAAGCAAAACCCCAACTGCAGACAGCAATGCAGTGTTATTTCCTGCGTTTTGCACTGGGCCAGTCCCCCCAGGGCAGCGTTTTCTTGCCCTTGGACGTGCTCCTTAGAGAGTGCAGGGTCTGCACTTGCTGGAGGCGCTTGGAGAGCTCCTGGTCACAGGCTGACTGCAGAGCTCCAGCTTTCTGCTTGTCCCATCCCAGAGCCGAGGCCAGGGCTGCTGTGTCTGCCTTCAACACCAGCTGGAGCAAGACAGATTGTTAGCAGCCTTTTCTGCTGACTGCCCGGCCCCTAACCCTCTGCTGAATTAGCAACAGCAGGAACTGCAGATGTTCCCAGCTCTCATCACCTATCCTGTGGGCTAGTGGATTTCCAGAAATTTGCCAACACTCAATGCTTGAAACTCTGTTCAGGTGTGCAAAGGAAGAGAAAGCAGTTACTTACTTTCTACAGCAGGGAAAAGTAAGAGTAGCAAGTTCACAGCTGGAAAGAACACCTTCCTCAATGGTTACAGTTTATCTTGACTTTCCAATCTATATTTAGAGTTTTTTCCAAAGTAAGGAGGTTTTTATTTTGATTTGGGATGGATAAAAGAAACATACCTGGATGCATAAGCCTATAAAAAACCCCAAAGAACCTTGCTGGTAAGACAGCTGACTGATTTGTCAGAGACCAAACCCAAAATTATTTTGTGGCTTTTCAGAGGACAGAGCAGAGTGTGTGGACCAGTGTCTGTTACAGAGGAGCTCCAGCCTCTCTTTTGGAGGGAGAGCTTTGCCAGAACATGGTTTGTGTCATTGTCACCCACCTCTAGATCCTGACTGTCCAAGCAGAGCTCTGGAGCAGGTTTCTCTTTCAGAGCAGTGAGGACCTGGTCGCTGAGTGCTGTTGTGGCTGAAGTGTCTGTGCTGCTGGTACCTGTGTCAACCACATCCATCTCCTTCCTCGCTGCAGCCTCAGGTTCTGAAAAGGAGCAGACTCCTTTTCAGTACAGCTCCTGATGAGCACAGGACAGGAAAAGTGGCCTGGACTGCTCTGATGGTTGTGAGATTAATAAAATATACATCCAATCTAGGTGCATCCTGGAACTTAAGAAATCCATAATTTTTCATTTTTTTAAGGAGGACTCCAGGACCTAAGCTCTTCTCCCAGTATTCTGCTTTCAGGCTTTGTGAGAAATGTGACACAGCAGCAAGAGGGCTCTCTGGTCAGAGAATTCTTACACTATATACACTATAACTGCTCTTGTATCAACCCCATTTAACAGCAGCTGATCAAATTACTCACTCTACTTTATTTATTCCACTCAGCAGGAGTTGAAAACCTCCTTCTCTAGCACACATGCTCCCTACCTGCAACTTTGCTCAAGATGCTGTCTTCAGTTTTCAAGGCCTCCAGGTAGAGCTGCAGGAGCTGCCGTGACTGACGCTCCTCCTCTCGCCTGTCCAGCACCTGCTGCAGGGTGTCCTGCAGCACCTGCACTTTGCTTTCACTCTGGGCAAGCTCTTCTGCCAGCTCTGAGCGTGGCACATCAATCAGCACCTTAAAACATGGAGAGGGCTCCTGAGTAACTCATTTCATGGCACTTATTGCAGTACAAACAGAACCCTCCTGAAACCAAGCGTGTTCCACAAGGTTTCTGGTCACAGCAAGGCCCCCGAGTTCTGAGAGGCTGTAGTGGCACTACACCTGGCAGCATTTTTTACTAAAAGCCAAAAGGCACCCAAGAAAGTATGGAATCATGTGCAATTTTAGCAGAAAGCTTGAAAACTAATGGCAAAGCACAACTTCTTCACAGTGCATGGAAATATTCAAAGGAAAGGCAGCAGCCTGGCACCTGGGAAGCTGCACACTGGGGAGAACAAGAGGGGGCAGTTACTGCTGTGTCTCACCACAGACAAGGTGTTAAGCAGTCAGAAACTTGAATCAATCAGCTCTGGGAAGTGACAGCAGTTCTTCAAAGCCCTCTGGAGCAGACAGACCTGGCCTTCTGCTCAGCCTCCCCTCTGGCCATGTTACACAGGGGTGCTGGTTTTGCATGGGAGGCACCACCACAATACATGGCTGGCTATAAGGAATGAGCTGATCTCAGTTGCTATTTGGCCAAATCTCAATTTTTTGCCAGAACTGGAATGGTTCTGTGATAGTTGGGGATTAAGAGCATCTTTGGACACTTGAATGTTTCCCTTCCAGGAGAAGTTTGACTCCAGCACCAAGAGCCAAAAGCAGCATCTGAGTTAAGCCTGAGCTCTGTTTATGGAGTCTCTACTGAGATAAATGGATGATGGGCAGATGCAAGGACAGGGACTGGGGGTTTCCCCACTGTACCTGCAGGTCCTCTTCAGACATCAGGATGATGTTGGACAGGTCATCCTTCAGCTGCCTGGCCAGCTGCTTCCACTTCTCGGCAGCACTGTCCACTTCATCCACAGATTCCGAGAGCCAGGATGTTCCACTGTCTGACACAAGAGCCACCCGTTTCATGGGTCATTCCTCATCACCTGACCCTGCCTACTGTCACTAGGTGTGCTCCAAACACCTCCCCTTCCATGCTTCCTCACTCACAGCATACCTAAGCTTTTGCTGGACCATTTCTCGTCCTTGGCCAGTGCCACAAACTTGGTGTTAGGTGGCAAGCACAAGAAGTAATCTTCATCATCCACAATGGTCCCATCTTCTGCCAGTACCAAGGTGATGGGTTTGTCAATAGCCAGAACACCACAAGCTGCAGAACAGAAAAAATACTTAACAACGATAAAAGTAACATAGCACTGCCTGTTTATTGACCCCAGCACAAAGGACAGGCAACTCTCAGTGACTGAGGCTGGAGACCAGGACCTGTCTCCTCACAGTGCTGCACATCAGCCGGGACCCATAGCGGGGGTCTCAGCGGGTACCACAGTGGGTCCCAGCGGGTCTCACAGGGGGTTCCATCAGGTCCCACAGCGGGTCTCACACCGGGCCCCACCGGGTCTCACAGGGGGTCCCACAGCGGGTCCCACAGCAGGTCCCAGCGGGTCCCCCCTCACCTTTGTCGCGCAGCTCCCGCAGGCAGGACGCGGCCACGCCGTGCTGCTCCGGCCCGTCCCGCCGCCGCACCACGCACTGCTTCAGCCGCGCCGCCATCAGCTGCCGCTCGGCAGTGCCCCGAGGGCTCTTCCAGGCGGGGAAGGCGCTGCTGCGGCGGGATCGCCCCGGCCCGGCTGGGTTCAGGCCGGGCCCTCACGGCACCGGCGGCGCCCCGCGGGACGCATCGCTGCGCCGGCGATCGACTCGGCGTGCCTGCGGCGCGGCGCGGCTGCGGGGGCGGCGCATCGGGCGGCCGGGGATGTATTAGCCGCGCCTGGGAAGATGGCGGCCGCGGAGCGAGCGGAGCAGCCGGGGCAGGTGAGGCGGCCGGGCCGGGCCGGGCCGGGCCGGGGCTCCGGGACCCCGGGACCCCCCGGGACCCCCCGGAACCGCGGGCTCGGGGCTGCGCCCGGGCCCCGCGCCCTGGGCGAGCAGGGGCTGTGCGGGGCTGGCTGAAGGGTGTGCAGGCCGGGCCCGGGGCACAGGCGTGCTGGCATCGAGGGTTTGTGTATGAAACTCGTCAAGCACTCGGATAGGAGAAGAATAAATCCAAACACGGCCAGAGAGAAAGGAGACAGCGTGCAGCTGGGCTCTAAAACTCTGTGCAGCCCTGTGCAGGGTAAGGGTTGGACTCGATGATCCTTGTGGGTCCCAGCTCAGACTGTTGTGTGATTCTGTGACTGGTTAGAGGAGAATATTGTCTGTGCCTTGCAAATGCGAGGGATGGAAGCAGATCCTTGAGCCAAGAGCATGAAAGGACAAACCTGAATGGGGAGAGCAAAAGAGAAATGTAAGTTCACTGGTTTCAGTGCTCAAGAAACACCAAAAGCTTGAGATATTTTTGAACTGGGACATGAAATGAATGGGGTAGCCAGAGGGAAAAACAGAAGCGTGATGGAGTTGTATATAGTGTATATTCTTATTTTCTTGAAGGCCTCTTCCAAGCTGGGTTGTGTGATTCTGTAGCATAGGTGTGATGTATGTGTATAGAGTGTAGGCTTCCTCTCTCTCACACTCTGTTCATGATCTAGAATCACTTGTATTTCACTGCAAGCTCAACCCACCTCAAATTCCGTGCCCTCCTGACGCTCTGGCATCATCCCAGACAGGTTCCTGAGTGTGTGCTGCCAGTGGGATTTGGGAAAGGCCTTTCAGTGCCCACAGGGCCCCACGGCAGCCGGTCTGGCTGTGTGGGCAGCTGGGAAGAGCACAGAGCAGCCTGCCAGTGACACACTGCTATGGGCAGTCACTCAAATCTGTCCCCGTTTGGCAAAATCTCCACGAACCTCTCTGTTGGTCCCCTTATTTTGGACTGAGGAGGCTGAGTTTGTAGGGAAGGCTGTTGAACTAAAGTGAACTAGAAATAAGTTACATAAAATCAGTACTCTTGGCCAACCAGCCCAGATCTGGGTTGTGAAAGGCCGAGTTACCAAACTCGCAGGAGGCAGGGCAGCTTTGCATCACCCAGGTGTTTTTGTCAGCCCCAGTCTGAGGTGCAGGCATTGCAGCCCATCCCTCACACTTCAGGTGAGTGCTTCCAGAATGAGCAAACCTGAAACAGTCTGTGACTGGTCCATAGGGCCCCTGGGCAGTCTGCGGGGCTGGCAGTTTCTGAGAAAGAAATCTGGTTAATTGGCAAATGTGATTGCCTAAAAACATTCAGGTCCTTTGAGTTTGGATTTTGTATTTTCCCACTGCACACTTAAACCCCCCCCATTTATTTATGTTGCTTTACCTCAAAATAAGGTTCCATGTTTGGAAGTGGGAGAGCCTTGCTTTTTAACCTTATAAATGTAGCCAAAAACACTCTTGAGTATTGAAGGTGAAGAGGAAGAGTCAGGTTCTGTCCTATCACGTGCAGCAGTGCTGGATCCTCAGGCCAGAACGAGTTACTCACACCCCTTCTGGTGTCTGTCCTGCATCTGGTGTGTGAGGAGCCCCTGGTGTGGGCACGGGTCAGGAACCTCCAGCCCAGCTGCTGGGCAGGGCAAGGTCAGGAGGCTCTGGGCAGGGCACTGGGCAGGAGCCTCTGGGCAGGGCAATGGGCAGGAGCCTCTGGTCAGGAGCCCCATGTCCAGCTGCCAGGCAGGCACTGCCCCTCAGCCCTGGCCACCCCTGAGCCCTGGCACGCCCCAGGAGCTGCTCTCACCTCCTCCTCTCCCTCCTGTGCCACTCAGGGAGCTGCTCCTGCTGCTCCAGCCTGGCCCTGCCTGCTGGGGACAGGTGTCCCCATCCTGTACAAGGTGTCCCAGCCCGGGGCAGGGCCTTGGAATGAGATGTTCTTTAAGGTCCCTTCAACCCCAACTGATTCTGTGACTCTTTGCCATCTCCTGTGGGTCTCACACTGGTGCTCATTCCTCAGCCAGAACTCTGAGAAGTGTTCAGTGCTCACAGATTCTGGGGGCTTGGAGGGAATTTGAGTCTTACAGCTTTGCCTGGAAAAAGGGGATGTGATTGAAGGACACGTGGGACAGTGGGTGACTGTTCAAGGGGGCAGTTTTGGAATGAAACAGACCAATGAAAATATCTTTGCAAGTCTCACAGAATGTAAACACCGCTCCTCCTACACAGCCACTGCAGGTTTGACAGTTACCAATGCTTGCAGAAAGTTGTCCCCATTGCACTCTAAACGTTTAGAGGATTTGATAAAATATTTGCTTTCTGCCCCTGGTGATGTTTGCTTATTTATTGCCAAGCTTTCAACATGAGACAGTGAGTAGTGGCACTGCCTCACTTAACATGTTTATGTTTGGGCCCCATCATGTTTCCTATTACAAATCAGGTTAATTTAGATGCTGAAAAGGGAGTGTCAGATGTCTTATGGCTTATTATCTGTTTTTCTTAGTTTAATTTTCTCATTCTCATGAATTAATATATTGCCTCAAGCAGTGTGGGGAGAGGGGAGTGCTGCAGCTCAAATGAAATCGTTTACGTAGATAGAATTATGTTCTAAAGGCAATAAATATTTCTACCAGAGATTTAAAATACTTTGTTTTGTTTAGAAATCATGTTCCTTGGGCCTTTAGCAATGTCTTTGCTAAAAATAAACAAAAGAAAAGATCCTGTCTCTCTTTTAGTGTTTTTTTAATAGTAAAAGAAAGAGAAAAGCGAGATGATGGTGTAGCCTGTGAACAGGATAAGCAATTTCAGATTTGTCTTGGTTATCAGTGTTTCTCCAGTGCCAAATACTTTGCTGTGGGAATTTCTTGAGGATGTGAATTCAGTGGTGGGTCCTTCCTTCCTCCTTCCCTCCCACCCAGAGGTTATGGCAAGTGATCCAGGAGAGTCCCTGCCCACCTGTGAGGTCTGGCTGGGTCCTGGTGATGGTCCTTGTCTGGATGCAGAGGAGTTGCAGTACATTTGAGTTTCTGGCACCCTCTTGTGGTAAATACTTATTTTATCTATATTGTTTTTGTGTATTTTGCAAATGGGAAAAATAAATGTTGTGATACGTGGAAGGCGAGGTGTATGCATAAAAATGAGGAATAGAATTGGAGGACAAAACTTCTTCTCTTAATTATGTGTGGGAAGCAAGGCTGGTCCTGGTACTGCTGGCAGTTTGTGGGGTTTAGGTGAATCATGGTTATTTAGAAATCTTTAGAAGAATGGTTCAGAAAACGAAGGATGCATTACCGGACCCTGGAAATGGGAGAGGTATTTACAGATTTGTGTTTTGTGCCCATTACTCTCATGCCATCTCTCCGGAGCCTTGCCAGCTCTCGCTGCTGACTCTCTAAAATCAGTTCTGCAGATTCTGCTCGTTCCCTTGTTTTAAAAGGGCAGTGAATACATTTTGCTGTGGTTCTGACCTGTTTGTGTTCAGTCCTCACAGACCCGCTGCTGGTAGCACAGACCGATGTGCGTGCCCAGGTGCTGCTGGCAGGGTGAGCGTTTCTGGCGGTGCCCATGGGGTGGCAATGTGAGCTCACTGTGTTTCTGCTCCACAGGCTGGCTCCTGCCCTGCGACCGAGAGCGCCGCGTCTCGGGAGCCGCTGGTGAGTTCCTCCAAAGCACCTGAGAATTCCTTGTTGATGTAACGCCAGTTGTTCTCTTTGCTGCATCGTTTTCCAGCTTTTATTTTGCTTTTCTGAGGAGCTGGTGCTTTGTGGAAACGGTGTGAACTGCCTGGGGTGGCCATGGTGTTCACACCTCTGAATTCTGATCTGTGGCCACCACTGGTGAGCCTGGGTTAGACATGGGTCACCTGGGTTAGACATGGCTCACCTGGGCCATGGAGAGCCTGGGTTAGACATGGGTCACCTGGGTTAGACATGGCTCACCTGGGCCATGGAGAGCCTGGGTTAGATATGGGTCACCTGGGTTAGACAGGGGTCACCTGGGCCATGGAGAGCCTGGGTTAGATGTGGGTCACCTGGGCCATGGAGAGCCTGGGTTAGGTGTGGGTCACCTGGGCCATGGCCTGTCCTAGGATGTGCTCCTGTCCAGAGCTTCTTTAGGAAAGAGTCTGAGGAATGCTCTGTGCAGCAGATTCATGTGCCGTACCCTTACAAAAATCCCTCATTCAAGCTGTCTTTATATTCAGAGGCACTCAGAGTGAGTTTAGAAATGTTTGTCAGCTGGCAGTGCGTGTAATCCAATGTTTCTACTCTAGAAGCATTTTGGAAAGGGCCCTGGGATTTTTTGTGTATGAGGATAACTCAGAGAACCCTGTTTTGTTTGCTCTTTTATGGTGCTGCAGAGTGGGAAGTGAGCCACTACTCCTGGAGCTGCAGTATGTGGATTTTACAACCTTGGGTCCCTTCCCTTCCCTTCCCTTCCCTTCCCTTCCCTTCCCTTCCCTTCCCTTCCCTTCCCTTCCCTTCCCTTCCCTTCCCTTCCCTTCCCTTCCCTTCCCTACCCTTCCCTTCCCTGTCAGCCAAAACCTTGACAAAATTCTTAGCCAATACTTTCCTCCTAAATACATAGATTTCTAAATTTCTTCTGCTGCTTTCATTTGTTGATCATAGCTATTTGCAGGGAGAAGACTCAAGTACTTGTGACACTGGCCACATCAAAGTATTTTTACCAAGTTACTCTGACCTAGAGAACCCAGGAGATGATTTTTTAAAAGAGAGAGATGTGAGTAAAGACTGTGAACCAAGAAAAGTCAGTATAAGGCATCTCATGAGAGGTCTGTTTGTGAATTCTGTTGCAGTGGCAGTCTCTCTAATGACATTGTGCCATCCCTTAATTGCATGGACATCTGTACATGAGATTACCTGAAGTTGTTATTGACACCAAGTGCTTTGTGGTGGATTTGGTGGTTTGCTTTTGGAGGAGTTGGTTGTCCCTGCCTTAGAAAGGTCAGGGCAGGCAGCAGATCATCTCAGCTTGTGCTGTTCAACAGCTTGTTCTTTCTCAAGGCTGAGTCTAACATTACCTTAGATATAATTAATTTCTTACTGTATATATGACTGCAGAATTGCTCAGAGGAAGTGTATACAGTTGAGTATCTTTCTGTTTGGGTGGATATTCTTACAACATAAAATTATTTATACACTTAAAGAACTCCAACATAAACTTTATTCTTACAATGGTGAGTCTGGCATGTGAGCTAATTAGAGCCCTCCGAAAGGTGGAGGTTTCCTTCTTATTTTTTTCATTAACTTTTTTAAAATAATAAACTCTTACAGTCTTTGTCACGTTTGTTTAGGAGTCAGTATTGCTTCCATCTGCTCCTGTGTAGATGCCTCATTAAATGAGCAGTTGAGGTCTGTGAGCCAGATGACCTGAGTGCCACCATCCTGCTGTGGCTTCCCTGTGGCCAGGATCGTGCAGGCTCCCTTCCACACAGCCAGGAGATCCTGGCCCATAAACCAGGCTCACACGGTGCAGTGTCATAAAAGTGTTAATGGAATCACCAGAGAGCCCTGGCACAGATCCAGCAGTGCCACGGGGGGCTGTGTGCTGGGGGATCATCCTGGACTCCACCTTTGGTGGGGAGCACTTGGAGAGCCCCGAGGAGGGAGGAAAGAGTCTCATGACCAACTTCTGCTCTGCGCCCCCTCACCCTTTTGGACTTTATTGGTGAGTGGAAGGATTCAGTGCTTCACAGGACTAACCTGTTTGGATCACACAAGAATGAGAAAGCAATAGAATTGAAACACTTTGCATTGTAACAGCAGACAGACTGTTGTTACAGTCTCAAGCTGGTTTTGTACTGGATTTGTGATTCTACTGGACACTATGCTGCAAGGTGCTAAATGCAGCATCTTGTCCTGTGCACAGGGACACTGTCCCTGCCTACCCTGTACCCCTGCCTGCAGCCTGCTGCTTTCAGCAGGATCCCAGGAGAAGCCAGGATTGCTGGTTCTTTGCACAAGGACTTCAGCATTCTCCAAGGTGCTGTAGCAGTCTGGCACATCACATTGTGTCCTGCATTTGGGTCCTCCAGGGCACCTTGCAATGGTTTATGGCCCTGCTGAGGGCTTCAGAATGCAGCCCTGCAAACTCATGTCACGATCCAAACTGCTCTTTCTCCCAGTCACTTTTGATATTGTGAGCCACCAAAGTGGGGATAGCAGACTCCACACTGAGTTACCCCGTGTCCTTGCAGTAAGCAGTGCCTCCCCAGCAGCAGGTCAGTGTGTCACAGCAGTGACAGTGGCAGTGGCAGGGTGGCACAGCCATAATTCCTGCAGCACACAGGACGCTCATTTCCCTGGCTGTCGGTCGTGGCCCATTAAAATCTGCTCCTGGTGGGAAGTGTAACCTTGTGTTCCCAGGGTGTCAGCACCTCGCTCTGCTGCTGTTTACAGCCACGTTTGTCATCGCCAGCGTGGGATCAGCTTCTCCTTGAGCCCGGCTTATCAGGGAGCACTGCTGCATCCCTGCTGCTGGGAGCAGCACCTCTGATAAGCCTCTGAACACTTGTGGAATTGGAATAGGTTTGTCTTTTTACAGCCGCTCAAAGTCCTGGGATGTGCAGAGGATGTAACTACATAGGACAAGCTCTCTTTCTGTGAGGTTAAACCAGTGAAAATGCCCTTTACATCAGGAATCTGTATCCTTGGTCTAATGTCTCTCCAGAATGTATTTAAATCATCTGTTTAGCTTGTTCTGTTTCATTGCTAGCAGAGTCTTGTAGCTTTTTAACCATCCTGTGCTGCTTTTGAGGTGTTTTCAAGACCTGTTGGCCTTTGCTTTCTGCCCAACCTGCTGCAGCCTAAATTACAGCTCTGAAGGTTGTGCCTGGAAGAACCTCCAACAGGAACCTGGGCTGGAGGGAGAACCTAAGGAAGGAGAGTTGTCAGTGAGGCCTTTTGACATGCTGTTTATTTGTTTGAGGTTTTTTTTCTGTCACAAAACACATTCATTCCCTAGCTGCTGCTTGGTATCTGGAAGAAGTACTAGTTGTAAATATGAAAGTACTGGTTATAAATGTAAAACACTCTTGGTTGCTCACTAAATTACAAAATCCCTGGGTCAGGATTCTTTTGCAGATTAATTAATTTTTCTTCTTTTATTTTTAGCATGTTCTGTTTCTTTCTGTTTCTTGCTGCAGAGGAGAGCAGTTAACACTGAAATGTGGACATTTTATTCCTTTTTTTACAGGCTGTCGAAAGGTACAAGTTAACAAGAATTACTGCTGCCTCTGTAGCAATTAGTGTAGAGTTTGTTGGAATGTGCTGGAGCCCTCGTGGCTTTTCCCCACCCTTTGTTGAATTGATTTTCAAATATTTAAGGGTCAGGATAATGGCCAGAGCACTTTTAACTCCCCTTTTTGTGCAAACATCACAGGGTACATTGCAGTGAGTGACAGTAGAATTATTAAATCCTTTCTGGTTTGTTGTCTCATTTTACACCTTATGTGTTCTGTTAAGCAGAGTGTGAGTACAGAAAATTTCATTTAGGTTTCTGAGAAAGGAGCTTTGCAACTGAGATTTTACTTTTAGCTCCAACTGTTGTCACTGGAAGTTACTGGAGACTGATTCTAACAAATACTGTTGTCTTTACCATTTGAACATGAGTGGATGGAATGAGGGGAGGCTACAGATTTGTGTAACAAGATTTGAGAGAGCTTGTTGGGGTTCATGTTAGTTAGTGTTACTCCCCACCACACTTTATTTTCCACTTCCCCACCCTTTGTTGTTTAAGACAAGATTTATACCTGTTTACTGTACAAATTTTCCGTCTGCCCCAATGGGTTTGTTCCTAGTGGTGGCGTGCACGGAATGATTCTCTGAAGGTAAATCTATCCAGAGGGGATTTCCAGACAGCCAGAGTCAGTAGGCAGCGAACCCCCAGCCCCCAGGGAAACATTAGTCAGGGTAATTTACACTGTCAGAGGAGAGGGAGAGCGACCTCAGCTCCAGGACCTTGTGTGGGGATGCTGCAGATGGCGTGGGAGCCCCTGCAGGTGCTGGCCAGCAGTCCCACAGGCTGTGCAGGGCAGTTCTGTGCAGGTTTTGGGTTTATTGGGCCACGAACAGGGAGTCAGGGGTGTGTGACTGCCGTGCACAATAACCTTTGGTTTGCTGCAAAGAGAGCTCTGTGGTTTACTAAGCAGAGCTCTCTTGTGTTTGACCTTCTGATAAGTTCAAGATTATTGGGTTTTGTCTGTTTTTTCTCTCTTTCTTCTGGGTGTTTATTGACTTCTTTTGTCGTTCATGCAAAGTGCACTTGCTTAATCTGTCGATTCCTTTTACTCTGTTGATTTAGACAAATATATTAATGTGCTCCAAGCACACAGATGCAATTTGACTCACTGAGCACAGTTAAAGAAACACTGTCATACCAGGTTAAACTGCCCATTTGAGCTCAGTGGAAAAGTTTAAATGACACTTCAGAGTGGTGGATGAGGCAGCACACCCAGGACAGGGACAATCTGTCACTGACAGGGGCATGAGTTAGCTCATAATCCTTTTTGTGCACTTGTGCAGGAAAGCTCTGAAAGCAATTTCTACTTGCTTTTCAGACAAACCAACATCACTGGCCAGAAGACTTTTAAAATGGTTTTAAAATAGTTGTAATACACTAAGCTGTTCTTTATGAA